GAAGAGGGGTGAGAGGACTTCCTTCCAGTTCCTGGCAGCAGCAACTGCAGCCCCTCACCCTTGCAGGAGCAACTGGTTCCAGACTCCAGCTTCTTTGGGTACTTTTGGGTACTTCTAGAACCTGCTCAGCAGCTGAACAAAGATAACCTTCTCAAAGGTTCAGAACCAGGCCAATGGAATCTCCTTTCTGAGCTCTTAAATTGATTATACCGTAATGTTGTTCTCTTTCGCTCTTACAACCATCTAACCAACTCCCTATATTAAATCGTCTCTGTTGAAACTCTTACTGAAGTCTCTGTTTTTTCTACCCAGGACTAATATACTGTCAAACATAGTGATTCCAACTGCTCTCCTTTGAGAGATCTTGCTGCTTCACTGAAGGGGAAAAGTAAGGAAAATTTGGTGTTATTCCTAGAGATCAAACCTATTCTATAATAGATAACTCAAAACCCTTTAAATTTGTTGCGGGGCGCCTAGTTGGCTCAGTCGGTGGAGCCTGTGACTCTTGATCAAGGTTGTGAGTTCCAGCCCCACGTTAGGCATAGAGATTACTTAAAATCTTTAAAAACAACAACAACAAAACAAAAACTGTTGAGTTGCAGCATAAAAATCACTTATCTTTTGTGACTTAAACTATACAACTTGGAGGGGAGTCTGGGTGGCTGAGTCCGCTGAACATCTGACTTCAGCTCAGGTCATGATCAAGGGTCAGCTCATGAGTTCGAGTTCCGTGTCAGGCTCTTTGCGGACAGCTCAGAGCCTAGAGCCTGCTTCAGACTCTGTGTCTCCCTCTTTCTATCTCTGTCTCTCACAAAAATAAATATTAAAAGTAATTTTAAACTGTCCAACTTATAAAGAAAAAAGAGAGAAAGAAATATTTAAATAATGCAGGCTGTTGCAAGCACACACAACCACCTTTTACTAGAGCACATATCCTAGGGAAAACGTGAGATGGTAGAGCTGATGTGCTGTTGTTCTTCAAAGGTCTCAGGTCCCACAAGCCTTTCCTCATGTAAGCATAATACCATGCTGAATGTGATTCTTATAATAAATAAATACATTATGGGGGGCACCTGGCTGGCTCACTCGATGGAGCATGCAACTCTTGATCTTAGGGTCATGAGCTCAAATCCCACACTGGACAGTTTACTTAAAAAAACAAGAATATTTCTTAAAATAAATACATGTTTTTGCTGTTGTTCAACATGACCCCTAAATGCAAGCTAACTACTTTCTCTAGTGTTCAACAAGAGAAACAGCAATCTGTTCTAAATACTAAAGCTGAGCTGAATCTACTGGTATAGTGTTCTCCCTTCCCGAAAGCTCTTCAAGCATTTCTTTTTTAAACGAAGTGTGACTTTCATTTTACGCACCGACTTTAGAATCTAACCCCTTCATAAAATAAAACTCCGCTCTATACAGAGAAAACAAAAAGAAATCCACCTTGCAGAAAGAGTCCGTAATCAACACACCTGTTGAAAATAAATGACCAAAGGCTTTGAGAAATTTTTTTTAAATTTTTCATATTTATTTATTTTTTTTTATTTTTTTACAAATAGTTTATTGTCAAATTAGTTTCCACATAACACTCAGTGCTCATCCCCAAAGTGCCCTCCTCCATGCCCCTCCCCCCCTCCCCCCCACATCCATCAGTCCTCAGTTTTTGTCAGCATTCAAGAGTCTCTCATGGTTTACCTCTCTCCCTTTCCCCCACCATGTCCCCCCTTCTTCTCCCCCTTGGTCCTCCGTCAAGTTCCTCCTAATCCTCCTATACGTGCAAACATATATTTGTCCTTCTCTGCCTGACTTATTTCGCTCAGCATAACACCCTCAAGGTCCATCCATGTTGCTCTGTTACTTCACTTAATAAAATGTCATTAGACAATTTAGTCTGAAGTTAATTTCAAAAATGTTTCATTATTGTACTTATTTTTTTAATTATGAAAAAATGGCAGCTATGTAGAAGTAGCAAACATGTTGTTACTCCATCTCTAAACGAAATGCGAGAAAGCAAATTCAAGCAACAGCAGTCCTTCTCAGACTTTAGTCATGTACATCGCTGCTGAGCTTTCAACAGGAATATCCCTAGGCCCAGACAAATTATACTAGTCCACTTTAGGTGCCTGACATCTATAAGACAAAAGAGAAGTGAAAAGAATTTTAAAGTTAAAAGTCCATGGCCAGTTCCACTGGAGTTCCTCCACAGAGCATAAAACTGGATAGTGGACCACCTTCCCCCCCTTACAATCTACATCTATAAAGTCAGTCATAGTCATTACCCAGCTCCTGCTACAGACATACTAACACCAGCTTCTACTCAAGTACCAAGAGTCCGAATACCACAGTCAGTGTATCCATGTAAAATCAACCAAAATGGATTCCTTACAAGAAACACCAAAGGACCCATCTGACACATTAGGTGGAAGACTAGGGGTGAGGGGGGGATAAAAGAATATCCTGACCTACAGAGAGGGAATGGACAGGGCAAATATACCTTGTGCCCCCAAATTATATGGGGATCTACTCAGTTAAATGCAAAATAAATATTCAATAAGTTACTATGGTAACTAAGATCTCAGAGAAATGGAAAAAAATGAATAAGTTAAATAACTGATGTCTAACGACAATGTCTTCACATCATGTGTAATAAACACTAATTAATCAAGTGTAGGTCTGTATGTGGGCAGAATGTGCATAATCTCACAGTATTTTTCTTTTAAAAAAAATGGCAAACTGTGATGCTTGTTTAGTTTCTCCAGACTTAATAAACGATTGCTACAAAATTATGAGGTACTTGAAGTCATACTAAAAATGTGTCCATAACTTTAATAAAGTGTATTTTGGTGTAATTCACCTCTCTTGCTGGAATTATGTTTCTTTGCTTAATGTACAGAAACTGTCACTAAAACATACATTATTCATTAGACCTGCATCACCTTTACTCCAAAGACCACATAATATAAACACAAATCATGAATAAATCAGATTAAAGAGATAGACCTGACACTACACACTGAAGGTCAGTAATTGAAAAATGAAATTCCTAAGATGTTTGCTGACCTGCTGTACACAGTATCTATGTCTACAAAAACCTGGGAGCTAGCTGTCCGGACCTGCTGTACACAGTATCTATGTCTACAAAAACCTGGGTGCTAGCTGTCTGGGTATTCAACACTGGCAGAGGAAAAACTCAACATTCTCAGAATGTCTCAGTATTTTCAATGTCTGCATTGTCCACATAATGTTAGTGGCTCTAATTTGAGATTTTTCTGTGTAGCACATTTGAGGACCACTGGCATATTTTTAAAATACTCAGACAAGCCTACTGAGGCAGTTTTCCTTCATAAAATTCTCCATTTCATTCTCACACCTACTATAATTAACCTCAAATGTGGATTCCGCAAGGGTACCTGGAGGAAAGAACTCAAATCCGCAGAAAAAGTGAGGGGCCATATTTGCTGTGCTATCCCTGGAAAATGGAGTCTTATGTAACTACCTACTATTTTACTAAAAAGCACGGTTAAATGTACAATCAAGATTTAAGATACCTGTTGACTGCGACAAATAGAAATTTCAGGGGGAAAAAGAATAGCTGAAAGTCCTATTGCTGCCATTTAAATTCTTCGTAAATCAAACGGTCATGATTATTCACCGTTAAGAACCTAGATCTGACACCAATCTAAGTTACTAAAAAATTCAACAACTATACCCTAGTTCAAGTGGGGAAAGTAGATTATCTACCAATTACACTAAGTATTCTAGCTTACCGTCTTGGAACTCACCAAAAGTAGATTATGTAATGCAAATCACTCATACGTTAGTTTTAAACATAATTCTCAGTCTAAAACACTAAAGCCATGCCTCAATTATTTTTAGTTTTTAAAAGGAAAGCGTATTACCAAAACACTGAATGCAAACCTATCCCTTTCATAGCAAATAAATTTCTTCACACACCTCAAGGAAACCTATCATTTTTCAACACATTTCACCCCTTAAAGGCACACGTTCTCAAACTTCTGACAGCCAAGCAGCACGCACCCAAAAAGGCTTGAAGGAGATAAGACTGTAAAACCATTATGGTCTTAACGGGCAAATAATCGCCAATGAATCTCGAAGTTTCAAAGACGAATTTTTACTAACAGTGTCTCTGGAAACAAGGAGGCTACTTCTATAGGAGGGAAAAGACCCGGACAACCGGGGCTACCGCTCCCCGGCGACACCCGGTACCAAAGATCTCAGCGTCAACGACAGGGTTCAAAACGCGAAGCTTCCATCAGAAACAAACCAAGACACCCCCTCCCCCCACGACTCTCCTCCGGGGCAACCTCGCGGTTTTAGAAAGCAGCAACAGATACTCCCGGGGAAGGCAGGCGGCACTCCAGGAATGTTTTCACCATGAGGGGTCTCTCCACAGCCCACAAGGTACCCCGACGCCGAGGAGCGCCTCCATACCCGAACCCCGACTCCAGCACCGCGGGGGGATAGGGGGCATTTTGCACAAAGCGCCCCTACCCCACCCCCACGGTGCAAACACATACCCCCGGCAGCGAGGGGGAAGCCCGGAGGAAAAACCCTACATTCCACGCCGCTGGCCTCCGAAGAGGGGGCCGCAGAGAGGCTGGGGCCCCCGCCCCGGGAGGCGAGGGGGCCGCACCGCAGCCCCGGCCTCCGCGCCGGGGAGCGGACAGTCAGGGGTTCCCAGCCAAGGAAGGAATCCAATCCCTGAGCTTCGCCCACCGGGGTCCTCCGCAAACCGGACCCACCGTCTCCGGCGAGACCCTCGAAGAAACGCGAACAATGAGCAGCTGCCTCCCCCGCCATCCCCGCCCCGAGAGCGGCCGGGGGCGGCAGCGACGCCATCTCCCCTCACGCCCCCGCGGGCAACACACCCCCGGCCCCCGGGCCGCCGTCAGCCGTCAGCCGCCCGCAGCCCGGCCGAGCCGACGTGCGTCTCGGCCCGCGGTTCCCGCGCCCTTCGCCTCCCCGCCCGCCCCACTCACCGGCTCCTGCCCCAGCCCGGGACTCCGCTGGCCGCGGCCAGACCGAGACTCAGGTACAAGCCGCCGCGGCCGCCGGCGCCGCCGCACAATATGGCGAGCCTCGGCTTCCGCAATGGAGCTCGGGAAATACAACAGGGGCCGCTCAATATTCATGAGAGACTGAGGGGAAGCCGGCTCGGCCAGCGCTGCGGGGAGGGCGGGAAGGAGCGAGCGAGCAAGGGGGCGGAGGCGCGGCCCAGGGGCGTGCACGGCGCAGGGAGGCCCGCGGTGCGAGGGGAGGGGGCGCCGCCGCGTGCTGGCCTGGAGGACGCGAGCCGCCCCTCCCGGAGCCGGCCGGCCCCGCCCCCGCCCCCCCCCCCGGCTTTCCTCCCCTCCCCCCCACCCCCCGGCGCCCTCCGCGGGGTCTACGCAGCCCCGGGGCAACGCCCGGATGTCGACGGCGCCGCCTCGTCCTCGTGTTTCTGGCTCCTTGAGCTCTCCTGCCCCCCCTGCCTCGGCCCACCCATTGCACCTCCTTGACCGGCTGCTGGGGTTTGGGCTCAGAGTTCTGCTCTCCGGGACTGCCTCCTGTTCTTACACGCATCCCGCTACCCGGTAGAAATCCTCGTTAGACCTTCGGCTCCAGAACTTCACCTGAACTTTGGCATCCTGTCTCCCCGTTTAACAAACACACACCATCCTGGCCCACTGAACCTACAAGATCTAATTATTTCAGGGAAAATGACCTTCTATTCTAGAACTATATTGTTAGACGTCTGTAAGTATTCTGATTGTTTTCATCAGCTCTAGTGTCCCTTGCTGCTCTTTTCTTCCTACCCCCTTCGCCCCTTCCAGTATTCTCTTCTGAACTTGAAAGTATAAGAAGAGATTAAATAGATGTAATCATTTCCGAAACACAACCAATTAGTCTACCAAAAAAATTACATAAAATGTGAATAATCTATAAGCTGAAGAAACAAGTGAGAGTTCCCTGACCTCAAGGTGCATCATTGGTGAGATGACCTGTTCTCTTGAAGATAACCAACAATATCAGATAGTAATGCAAAGGCATTTGTGGCGTAAAGAAATGGACCACACTGGGAATTGGCTATAAACAAACTAGGTTTATAGCCTCCAGTGTGTCTCTAACTGTATGACAAGTAAATTGCATAACTCTCTGGACTTCATTTCCTAAGGAACTAGGATTTGAGTAGGGCTGTGGCAGATAGTTTGGGATGGGCAGAAAGAGAACAGGTGCCAAAATATTAAAGACAATCCATTACCTTTCCTACCTAGCAATCCATTAAAGTAAACGAGGGAAACGAGTAACACATGACTCTTTTTCAGTGACTTGAAAACTTTCACCTACTATCTGTAGATTTAAATAAGAAATGATCATTCTTAGAAGCCTTGCTGGTTCAGGTGGTAGAGCTTATGCAACTCTTGATCTTGGGGCTGTGAGTTGGAGCCCTATGTTAAGTGTGGAGCCCACTCTTTTAAATGACAATTCTCAGACTCTACAAAGCCTTCCAAGGTCAAAGAAATCAAAATACAAACAGTCCCCAAGTTACAATCCCACATAGGACTTTTCAACCTAACAATGGTTGAAAGTGTTACTATTCAGCAGAAGCCATAATTCAGATTTTGGATTTTGATCGTTTCCTGGGCTAGCTGTATGTGGCAGAATACTCTTGTGAGGCTGGGCAGCAACAGTGAGCCACAACTTCCAGTCAGCCGCTTGATCAGGAGGGTAAACAGCTGATCCACTTACAATCACTTTGTACCTATATACAACCATTCTATTTTTCACTTCCAGTACAATATTCAATTACATGAGATATTCAACATTTTATTCTAAAATGGGCTTTGTGTTAGATGATTTTGCCCAACTGTAGCTAATATAAGTGTTCTGAGCATGTTTAAGGTAGGCTAAGCTAAGCTATGATGTTTGTTCAGTTGGTTAGGTGTATTACATGGATTTTTTAAAATGTTTTTTTTATTTATTTTTGAGAGACAGAGAGAGACAGTGTGAGCAGGGGGTCAGAGAGTGAGGGAGACACAATCTGAAGCAGGCTCCAGGCTCTGAGCTAGCTGTCAGCACAGAGCCCGACACAGGGCTCGAACCCATGAACCATGAGATCATGACCTGAGCCAAAGTCGGACGCTCAACCGACTGAGCCACCCAGGCGCCCCTACATGGATTTTTAACTTAAGATATTTTCAACCTCTGCTAGTTCATCAGGACATAACCTTTTCGTAAATCAAGAAAGAGCTATAATCAGGGGATGCTTCTGCTTCTCCCTTCCTAGAAGAGTCCCCTTTCTAGAGACAGTGCAGCTGCAGAAACATCCCCCTTCTTTATTCATGACTGCATGTGTAGTTAGTTCAATTAAGAGTGTTCATAATTCAGAACCTTTTGCTCCAGTTATGCCTGTGAAGATAATGATGTGTGGTTAGATTAAGAAATTCAATTGATGTTGCAAAAAGTGATCATTTGTAGAAAGCACAGGAACTTTATGGATGAAAGTTAAATATAGTACTTAAAAAAGATTCACAGGAGAATTAGTGGGAAAATGGAAAACTTATGGGATATCTGGATTAAATGTGATTAAAAAGCTAGACCTCAGGCTAGCATCCTTAATATGAAAGACACTACTGACAAATTAATGGAACTCATATTATCTATTTTATCTCTTACTCAAAAACTTGGCACCAAGAGTATTATGGTCCTTTCCTGACTGTATTAATCAGGAAAGATTATGTTATGAATAGTAACAAAATTTGCAAAATCTCCATGCCTTAACACAACCAAAACAACTCCAATTAAAAAGATTCTTTTTGGGGCATCTGGCTGGCTCAGTCAGTACACATGCAACAAACAACCAAAAGTTTATTGCTTACTTCATGCTTCATGCTTCATATGACTCAGACTCCCTCTGTTCCAATTGCTCCAAGGACCAGATTGACAGAGGGCCCACCATCTTGTAGCTGTGATCACAGCAACTGAGTCTCTGTGGCAGAGGAAGCAACTAAAGAGTCACAGCCTTAGATTGGGATAAAAGCAACTTACTGATCTCATTTCATTGGCCAAAATGAATTACATAGTCTCCCCTATGTGCAGAGACTGAGTCATTGAACCAAGTGAGGAGAAGTAGGGATATTGGTGAATAATACTAATGCTGACCCCACCAGTGAGCTCCTATATACTATGAAAAACACCAAGAAGTTTTATTCCATAACACTGAAAGTTATCCTTTCAAAAGTAAACTGTCTGTACTTGTTAAGAGTTGACTAACATGTAAATAAATGAACTTTCCATTTACTTCCCCTTTGTTTTAATTGCATATCAAGTCAGTGTCAGCTGATTTGATATATCCAACCTACATTCCTTTTGCTAATTTTTTGACCTTACATAAGGGATATTACCCTTACAAACATTTTCTTCTATTACTCTGCTACCATGTTAAATGTACTAATTAGAAGTGATAATCTTGTTTTGAGTAGGAAAACATTAAATTAACACTACATAATACAAGTATCGTACTACAGGTAGATGACTACATGAACTCCAATTAAAAAGATTCTTTTTGGGGCATCTGGCTGGCTCAGTCAGTACACATGCAACTCTTGATATTGGGGTTGTCAGTTTGAATCCCATGTTGGGAATAGAGTTTACTTAAAAGATTATTTTCCTTCAAAACTTGAGACCCTGTTAATCACATGGTGAATTGATTCCAAAAATCATGTCTGATCACAAAATTCATGGCTTTACTAGCTTTCTGCTATGGTAATCCTATACAATTAGATTAGTTCAGCTCAGCCAACTTTTATTGAGCATCTACTATGTGCGAACACTTTGCCAGGTTTCTGGAATAAAGATATTAATGTGACCAGGTCACAAGTTCCTTGATAGCAGAAATCTTGTCCATCAGTGTCTATGTAGAGATTAGTGCAATGCTTAGCACATATATCAGATACTCAATAAATAAGTGTTAAGAGAATGAAAGACTGGGAATCTTTGATCCCAGTGTGCGTATGAAATAGCACAGAACGTATGAGCTTGGTTTGCCTCACTTTTATCACTTAAGAGCAGAAATTTCTATTAAGATTGCAGATAGTCCTTCCAGAGTCTTTATGTAGGCAGTGTGTTTTAAATGGAAATTTATGCTTGCCTATTCTATGTATACCACATGGATATCTTTTCTCGCTGTTCTCCAAATATTTAATGGTTATCTGATCTTCTGAAATGAAAGATTATAGGACACCAGTAGCCTGTTAATAATAAGCTACACTTGGTGTAGCTTATTATATAGTTTATATGACACATTTATATTAATTATTTTACTGAATCTTCAGATCAGTCCTCCAAGTTATTATTCCTACTTTACAGACAAGGAAAATGTGACTTCTGTGGTTAACTAGCTTTCCCAAACACTGAGCTCCTAAGTGGAAGAGCTGAGGCTCAAAGCTAGGTCATCTGAATTCAAGTTCAAGAATACTTTCCTTTATGCCACATGTGTCTTCCCACTTTATGCTGCATACACAGCTCCAGCATTTTTTTTTTTTTTTTTTTACTAATGGGTAAGCAGCATATAAACAAAGACCTCCAGAGCTTTCTCTCAACACTAGTATTATTCCAATCCTTGATGTGGTCTTTTTAAGAAGTTAGAGATGATGCTAAATGTAACAGTATATTAACCCGATCCATTGACAGAAAGCCAGCAGGTCTTGTTTTTGTTTTGTTCTCTTTTTTTTAAACTTCTTTTAATTTTTTTTTTAACGTTTATTTATTTTTGAGGCAGAGAGACCGTGCACGAGCTGGGGAGGGGCAGAGAGAGAGGCAGACACAGTCTGAAACAGGCTCCAGGCTCTGGGCTGTCAGCACAAGAGCCTGATGAGGGGCTCAAACCCACAGACCGCGAGATCATTCCCTGAGCCAAAGTCAGACGCTTAACCGACTGAGCCACCCAGGTGCCCCATTGATTTTGTTTTCTTAGAAAACTTGCTTTAAGAAAACAAAACAAAATTAAAAGTTAGGTTAGAAGACATAAATAGCTTGAGATTTAATTGCTGTATATATACATATATATGTATATATATGTATGTATATATGTGTATGTGTATATGTATATATATATATATATCATTGTCAAAATATATCTTCTACCAAAATCTTTATTTGCCGTCTTTTGGATGTGTTGTGCTTTCTTTGAAAGGGT